AAACACAACCTAAAGCCCTCTTTATTGTTCATACTAACTCCTGCTGCTGACAAACAAAAAAAATGAATGCAGAGGAGATTTATGTCTTAGCCATAACTCCAGTTGTACAACTCAGTCGCCCCATTCTCCTTTACGGTTCAAAATGTACTGCTGACCTTTGGTTTGTTTTTCTGTTTTGTTTTGTTTTTTTCCTGTTACGATTTATTTGGGGACTTTTGGTAGTTTAAACTCTTTAACCTTTTCCTTGCTGTGTATGAGGAAAGCTAAAGCTGTTATCAACTTCTTATTCTACGATACTAACACGGGTTTTCAGTGTTTGTTTGTTTTTATTATTATTAATTTTGCGTGATGTGAATACCCTCTCCCATCAATATTTGTATTATGGTGCTATATATTGGTAATGATCCTTTAATATTGGGAAGGGATTTTAAAAATACTGTGATTAAACTGGGTTTCTTCCTTTGATTTTCATATTTTAAATAAAGCCACAGTCATTTATACAAAAGAAAAGCATCTGTCCCTGGGCAAATCTTTTGAGGACAGAGTCAGAGTAAACTGCATAAGGTTTTTACATCATTTCTGTATGTATTTGATATATAGATCAATATCTGTACAAATTTAATCTTTTATTTTCTTGGTAACTCGTGGTCATTGAGAAAGTGTTTGAAACTTTCTCATGAAATGTATATATAATGGCGTGAAAAATTCCTTTGGAGAAATTTATGTTCCTTTCATTTTTACCAAATTGCAAATTTTCAGCATGGATGTGAAAAGCATTAAAATTATAACTTTGTGTACCAGATGAAAATAATTCACTAAATTCGCCCTTTTTTACACAAAATAAAATGTTAAAGTTAAGCTGGATTTGAGCGGTTCTTTAACATGCTTTGGTTTGGGGGGTTGCTTTTCTCTTGCGTGCCCACTGTAAACAGTCACAGACCCCTATGAAAGTTGGTTCAGTCCCGTCCTCTAATGAGGGATAGCAGGCACATGAGTGCTGTGAGGAAGAATTTACCACCAGCTCGTGAGGGAGCCGAGAGTGGTATGGTTAGACTTACGGACAAGGTGCCTTGGCGGTGGACTTTCATGGGCAGGGAGGGAAAGGGCAAAAACCACAGCAGGAGCCAAGGTGAATAGAGACCTATATGGGGAAATTAAATCACCTTAGTTAGAACATTGTGTTTTGGGGTTGGCATGCTTAGTAGGAGACTTTATTTTTTAACTCCATTAACCTCAGCAGCAAAATTAATCAGATGTAAATAAAGTGTCCCAGCTAGCTCTTGCCCTTAACATTAAAAGGGAATGCAAAAAAAGCCTTCCTTTACCCACAGCTGGCTCTTTGGAAAATTATTCAACTTTTACTGCAGATGCAGTTGGTAGAGATATTTATGAATTGGAAAAGGATATGTAAGATAGTAATGAGATGGACTGGGTCTCTTCAGGGATTAATTTCACACTCTAGAAAAATGTAACGCATTTGGCCAGGCATAGTGGCTCACATGTGTAATCCCAGCACTTTGGGAGGCTGAGGCAGGTGGTTCACCTGAAGTCAGGAGTTCAACACCAGCCTGACCAACATAGAGAAAACCCATCTCTACTAAAAATACCAAATTAGCCGGGCATGGTGGCACATGCCTGTAATCCCAGCTACTTAGGAGGCTGAGGCAGGAGAATCAATTGAACCCAGAAGGCGGAGGTTGCGGTGAGCTGAGATCACACCATTGCACTCCAGCCTGGACAGCAAGAGCGAAACTCGGTCTCAAAGACATAAGAATAAAAAAACACATTAAAAATATAAAATGGGGCTGGGAGCAGTGGCTAACGCCTGTAATCCCAGCACTTTGGGAGGCTGAGGCATGTGGATCATGAGGTCAGGAGATCGAGATCAACCAACATGGTGAAACCCCATCTCTACTAAAAATACAAAAATTAGGTGGGTGTGGTGGCGGATGCCTGTAATTAATTCCAGTGCCACTCAGAAGGCTGAGGCAGGAGAATCACTTGAACCCAGGAGGCAAAGGTTGCAGTGAGCCGAGATCACACCACTGCACTCCAGCCTGGGTGACAGTTTGACTCCATCTATATATATAATATAGAAATATATATATATGAAAAATATAATGCATTCCAAGAAAAACAAAAGCCTAATTTCTAATTTCTGCCCTGGTTCTACCTTATGTGATTTGAACAGTTGCCTTAGTAAGCTGGAATTCCCAGGTTGGTGCTCATTTACTATCCCATGAGCTTTCATAAATATATTTTTCTTTTTTCCTTTTTTTTTTTTTTTTTTTTATGAGACGGAGTCTCGCTTTGTCACCCAGGCTGGGGTGCAGTGGTGCGATCTCACCTAACTGCAACCCCCACCTCACGGGTTCAAGCGATTCTCCTGCCTCAACTTCCCAAGTAGCTGGAATTACAGGCATGAGCCACTCACCCAGCTAACTTTGTATTTTTAGTAGTAACGGGGTTTCACCATGTTGGTCAGGCTGGTCTCAAACTCCTGACCTCAGGTAATCCGCCTGTCTCACTGCCTTGCCCTCCCAAAGTGCTGGATTGCAGTTGTGAACCAGTATTTCTCATTCAATTCTAACAAATTGAGTCATGACATCCGAAACCTTACTCAGCTTTTACCACTACAGATTGAGGTCACTTACCCTCCCAACTCACTTCCTCACTGGGGAAACTATTTAAAGGTAGTTAAAAAAAAAAAAAAAAAATGGCAGCAGTAAAGCATTGTGGCCATGGGCATGGAGTCTGAAGCCAGCTCTCGGGCTGGAAACTGGCTCCTCCTCCACTGGCTAGTTATGTAACGTGGCTCAGTTTCCTCCGTTGTAAACTGGTGCCTGCCTCCCCAGAGTCATGAAGGTGCAATGAAGTTCTTTGAATAGCCCTGGCAGAGTAAGCCCATGCTTTGCTGCTGCTCCTAACCCAGGTACCTCCACCAGCCTGCATCAGTGTCACCAGGGAGCACAGTGAGATGCAGGTGCTCGGGAATATCAAACTTCCGCTTACCTCTGATGAGAATGTAACATATATAAACATAGATGAATTACATTTGAAATTGAGGAATGATATTTAAAATGTTAAGCTTATCAATTGTTGAAACTAAAATCTAGACACTTTTTTTTGTACTAAAACATTAAAAGTATTACATCATTCCAAAGGAAAATTGTTTTCTTCCTACTCTGTCACTGACCGCAACACTTCTGACACCAGATGTAAGGGGGCCGTTTCCCTTCACACCGAGCATTTCTCTGCAGTCACCAGCTGGGTGTCCTCTCAATTCTGATGCTGTCTACCTAGATTCAGACCACACAGGTTAAGGACTCCAGCCTCGAAGACTGCCCCCATTTCAGATGCCAATTGCAAGCCCCAGGTTACAACATTTTTTTTTTTTTTTTTTTTGAGATGGGGTCTTGCTATGTTGCCCAGGCTGCTGGAGTGCAGTGGCTATTCACAGGCGAGATCCCACTACTGATCAGCACCGGAGTTTTGACCTGCTCTGTTTCCAACCTGGGCAGGTTCACCCCTCCTTAGGCAGCCTGATGGTCCCCCACTCCCAGGAGTTCACCATATTGATGCCGAACTTAGTGCAGACACCCAATCGGCATAGCTCACTACAGCCCAGAACTCCTGGGCTCAAGCGATCCTCCCACCTCAGCCTCCCGAGTAGCCCAGACTACAGGCACACGCCACCGCGCCCCACCCAGGTTACAACTTTGTTCCTCTGACGAATTGGCTGTAAATTAAGGATTCCCATGACCCCTTCCTTAGATTCAGTTAATTTGCTAGAAAGGGTCATAGAACTCGGGGAACAACTACTTATATTTGTTGGTTTAATAAAAGATATAGCTGGTGTGCATCTGTGATCCCAGCAACTCAGGAGGCTGAGTTGGGAGGATTGTTTGAGCCCAGGAGTTAAAGGCTAACGTGGACAACATAGCAAGACCTCCATCTCTAAGAGAGGATATAGATGGACCAGATGCATGGGGCAGGGTATGTGGAAAATGGCATGGAGCTTCCACGCCCTCAGAGTGTACCACCCACCACCAAGCACCTCAGCAATCTGGAAGCTCCCCACACCCTATTCTTTAGGGGTTTTATGGAAGCTTCATTACATAGGCGTGACTGATTGCATAATTGGCCATCGGTGAACAATTCAAACTTAGCCCCTCTCCTCTTCTTGGAGGTTATAGGGAGGCTATCCAGGAGCTCCCATAGCCACCAGTCATCTCATTAGCATATAAGGAACCTAACATTTGAGATTACAAGGGTTTTAGGAGCTGTGTGCCAGGAACCAGAGGCAGAGACCAAATATGTACTTAAATCATGATGTCACTGTCTTATAGCTACTGTAGCAGTATAAATAAAAAGCATAGGATTGTCATATATAGGAGTGACATTTAGCTTTTACTTTTTTTTTTTTTTGCGATGGAGTCTTACTCTCGTTGCCCAGGCTGGAGTGCAATGGCACGATCTTGGCTCACTGCAACCTCCACCTCCCGGGTTCAAGCCATTCTCCTGCCTCAGCCTCCCGAGTGACTGGGATCACAGGTGCCTGCCACCATGCCTGGCTAATTGTATTTTTAGTAGAGACAGGTTTCACCACGTTGGCCAGGCTCCAGGCTGGTCTCAAACTCCTGACCTCAGGTGGTCCACCCGCCTTGACCTCCCAAAGTGCTGGGATTACAGGCATGACCCACGGCATCCAGCCATAAAAATCTTTCATACAGGAATATACATTTATGCATTAGCTAAAGTAGTTGGGATATAGTTTGATTTCCTTATTCGTTTCCTTAGATACACAGCCAGGGCCATGCTTTTCCTCTCCAGCCCTACCATTTTCCCTCATAGAATGTCTTGAGGTATACCCAGGTTCTTAGAAGGATCAATTATTCTTTGATAATAAGCAGGATTTAGATGCAGATAATGCTACTATTTAGCCAGGGAACCACGTCACTTCTTTCAGCTCAGTATCAAATAAGCACAAGGAGACAGTGTCCAGTTTCCAAAGGCTTTACTGGCAAATATGCTCTACAAAAGAATGATCACTCCTGTTGCTTCTAAGTCAGTGGAATGAAGAGCTGTGTCCAGGGACACACCAAGCCGGGCTGAAGGAGACTGCTGCTGTGTCCACCTCTTATTCATAGACCCAGTCATGAGCACAAGACTTGTAGTCAACCAGTTCTTCAGGCTTAAACCATAGGCTGATTTCTTTTTCAGCACTTTTTACTGAGTCACTGCCATGAATGATGTTCCTAAGAAAGAAAACAATTACTAGTCACTGTGTTTGTTCATTTTTCTTTTTTTGTCACCATGTTTTAAACTGCAGAAGTCTGCTTCATGGGTACAGCAACGGACAGCCACTCCAGACTTTTTCAGCCAAATTGCCACTTGAAGCAGCAGCAGACCCATTTATACCCCCAAAGTGTTTCCTTTTTTTTTTTCAGACGGAGTTTCACTCTTGCTACCCAGGCTGGAGTGCAATGGCGCGATCTCGGCTCACCGCAACCTCCGCCTCCTGGGTTCAGGCAATTCTCCTGCCTCAGCATCCCGAGTAGCTGGGATTACAGGCACGCGCCACCATGCCCAGCTAATGTTTTGTATTTTTAGTAGAGACGGGGTTTCACCATGTTGACCAGGATGGTCTCCATCTCTTGACCTGGTGATCCACCCGCCTCGGCCTCCCAAAGTGTTGGGATTACAGGCGTGAGCCACCGCGCCCGGCAAGTGTTTCCTTTTAAAAGCACCTGTAAAGGTGCTTGGTTCCAAACACTCCTTGTTTTAACTGTATTATGCTTCCAAGTCCAGCCCCCACTATCAAAACAGTGCTTGTACCCCAAGATTGCTGATAACATAAAACATTCCTCCTCAAATTTTGGAAAACACGGTAATATTCAAAAGCACTCCAGATCAACATCCCAACTAGATATGATGTATTCATTGTCACAGGCCAGTTCCGCTGCAACTTCTTACAACTCTGATTTGCAAAGCCCAGCCATGACATAACACTGCTTATTAATAACAATCCCTTTATTGCACTTGAACCTCACAACTTTGTAAAGGTTTTGAATAGATTGTGTACAGGCGAAGGAACCAGAAGGCTAACCGACACGCCCAGGGACAAAGTACTCATGGCTAAAAATCTTCCCTTCTCCACACCTAGCATTGCCTGCTGTGCTACACAGGAACCACCACATAGAGCTCCCTTGTAGTATCTTGCTCACAATTAACCTAGGGAATAAGCGATCTATGAAAGCTTTTTTTTTTGAGACGGAGTCTTGTCAGCCTCCTATAATGCTGGGATTACAGGCGTGAGCCACCGTGCCCA